GGTGCCTAGAGATAGTTAGGTATGGCTCTGGTACTTTGCCTCATGAAACGATGATGCCTGGTAGGAAAATGCCACATGTCCATATGGGGTTCCTTGGGCATAAGATCTGAGCATCCTGGGGAGTGTTTCTCCCACTTTTACGTTTGTACAACCCCACGCCCATTTGATACTCTTTACTTACAACTGAAATTCGGCTCCTTAAGTTGGCGTGTGACAAGAAATTCATTTTCAATATTGCACTTATTGAACCAACTGGTGATGGATGGCTTCTTGGAAGACAATTGCAAGGGATTCTGAAGCTCAGAACAGCTTTAGTGGTGAAAAGGGACTGAAATGAGAGAGACTTGTCTGTTGTCCATGTTGGTAAAAGTAGCAACATGCCTGTCTTCCATGCTTTTGCCTTAAGTGGTTTGAAGGCCTATCCCCTATCAAAACTGATATCACTCTTGGAAAGGATGTATGATTCAAGAAGGATAAGAGTTAGATCTGAAGCAAGTATAAGTCACAGAATGAAAGACCTAGGTTCTGGGCCCAGCTCTGTTGCTAGGCATATGGTGAGGGTGGGATAGGCATGCATCCTAATCAGTCTCTGAATACTTAAGCCTTAGCAGCTCCTTGCCAATATTTTGGCTAGCTCAGTGTCTTAATAGAGTTAGAAGATAAGTGCTACAAAGCTGAAGCTGAAAAGAGCCCAGAGATAATGGCAGAGATGGAATTTTATCAGATGCTTTGGAACTGCCAGTGATCTCATTCATAAATGTGTCATTAGCTCACGAGAGCCTCTGCTCATGAGAGTATGTGGCAGGACAATGGGAAAGGCCACTTGTCTGAGGGCTTGCCCTGCTTCTCTTTGTCCAGAGCCTCCAATTCTTTTTGGACTCCATGGTATAGTTTCCAGAAACCCTGACCATAGTCTTTGCTGTCCTGTTTGGGACTTGCTTTGTTTTTCTGCTTCTTGGCACCCCTGAAAACTCCAAATAGACTGTGCCTTGGGAGGTGGAGGACTATAGATGAAGAACGACTGCCCTCCCCCTTTGGCAAAATTTGACCAGGGGTCTTGGTTTTCTCTGCATCCTGCAGAGCCAGTCATCAGGATTCTTTTTTGTTTGTTTTTTTCTCTGCAATTTTCCTGCAAAGGAAAATATTTTGTTTCTGTCAGCAATAAATCTGTCTAATCCTATCTGGAATTGGGTGGCAAGAGGTGGGTTGTTGCCCAGCTGCTAAATGGCCGAAGTCCATGTGGGTGTGAGAAGCCAACTTGTTCGAGGTCTCTGCTTGCACCAGCACCGTCAAGAGATCTTCCTAAACACCTTGTGTCTCTTGGGAGCTTCCCTCTTTCTACATCCTTCTTTTTCCTGCACCACTAAGTGGAGCTGGTTGGTGCCTTTCCCTCCCAAAGGGCAGAGAACTTGAAGGCAGTGCCTGCTACTAGGATCACATCACAGAGCTTTGTAGCCTCATATCAATGTCCTGAAGAAATTTTACAGCCAATATTTAACAAGTCAGTTTGAAAATACAGCTGGACCCTATAACTGTTAATTTATTCAGACGAAATGAAGCATTTTGGCGAGGTGCCCCTGTTGAAGCCTTGGGGTGTACAACTGCAGAATACTGATGATTCTTCCAAGTGTGGACATGGAACTCAAACTGTTCTCTACAGTATAGCCCCTGTCCACTAACGGGGATCCTCAGCCAAACCATGGAAGGTTGTAGATCTGGCTTCCGCTAGACCCAGCTGGGGGACTGTCTTCTGTGGAGAACTGGGGGTGGGGAGAGTTTATTGTAGAAAGTTGAGACCCTCAGCTTTGACTTCCTACCCTGTGTTTTGATCTAGCTTCAGAAGGTAATAAAATTAATGTTCTATACCTATGCTCTTTTTTCCTTTCCTTAGTCTTTGCCCCTACTTTCTCCAGCTGGCCTTTAAATGTCTTAGACAAACAATGTGTGGAATCCAGAGAATGAAGGCTGGCATAAGTATATACTGAGAAAGCCTTTAATTCCTGGAAAATATTATATGTATATATATATTTATTATTATTTTTTAATAGCCATTCTCATAATATGATCTATGACTAAAGCCAGGCATTTTTCTTAAGGAAGGCAAGTAGTCCAATATGAAAGATGATAAAATTCTACCCTCTTTTTTCTTTTTACACATTCAGTTGGTGAAAATTATTAGTAACTCTGGCTTCAGTTAGTAAAATTTAATTAAATTTGTTTTAAAACACTAGCAATAACTTTGTTTAAATTAACTCATTTTTAGAGCCTCTGTTATTGAATCCGATAGAACTTTTCCCTCGATTGGTTATGAAAGGAGTACACTCTTTAGTGCAAATAAAGTCTAATTTCTGTATCTGTGAATAAGTATTTGAATTAACCTATCACTTAAAAAAAAAATAGTCCTGTGTCTTGTTGCCAAGGAGAAAGAACAGGAGGATAGGTGCTGCATTTGGAGCTGTTGTGCCTGAGTTTCTGTCTCTACTGTCACAGACTGTGACCTTCCTAATTTTAATTCATATATTCTTGTACTCAGTTCTCACACCTCAAAAATAAGTAGGTTGGTTAAGTAAGATGGCCTTTCTTAAACTCAGGACTATCTGGAAGTACACCATTGATACTTGTAGCCAGTGTTCCTAACAGAGTGGAGTTAAGTCACACCAATCTTCCATACTAAGAAGGTCTAAAATAGAATATTTTGCTGCATCAGCCCCTAAACACCATTTCCAAAGTATTTCTCATTCTGGAAAGAAAAACATTCCTAACCCAAGTCTGAAGGCCTTTTCTTAGTTGGATTAGAAAACTCATCACTGAAGAATGCTGGGCTCCAAAGCTTAAATAAAGCAAGTAGATTTTGAGACCAGAGCATTATTCATGAATAGGTATGAGGCTGGATTTAGGTTTTTTGTTAGTGGTGACAGTTTAACTGTATCATGAATACGCTAGGGAAGAAGCAGGAAAGAAAATGCCCTATTTAATAGAACAATATGCAGGGAATAAGTCTCCTGAGAAATGGGCAGCAATCACAGGAGAGACCTGAATTTTAGTGATTTGACTAATTCCCAGCAAACATGGCAAGGATGAAGGAGATGGAATATTTACCCACAAAGATCAGATGCCCTGACCCAGGCCATTGGTTACCTTGGAAAGTTTTCCGTTTCCCATTGTCTTCTCTCCTTCCCTTCCTCTTTCAAACACTGTTCTGATTTCTGGCAAGGTTTAGTGAGTGACACATGGCAGGAAGCAGTTTCATATGAAACGGGCCTCCCAGGATAACAGCCTCTTCTCCATTTTTAGATATAAAAGTCAAACAATTTTGGCATCAACTAAATTTTATCTTCCCTTTATATAGCTGTGTCAACCTTGGCAGCATTAAAAAGCAAGAAAATTTTGAAATGGTTTCTTCAGGATGCAAGCATGTTGAGGCCTTATGCACATGTGTGATCTCTGGTTTCCATAAGACTCCAGACAAGAGCCAGCTGCCAAATGAAAGATCAAATCCATGACTCAGACAGCCCAATGGATTGTCTTAATTAACTACTTCATAATCAGTGTGGTTTGTATATGTAAATGTATTCACTCAACAAATATGTTCCTGCTATTGACAGGCTCTGTTCTACTTGTTTGAGATACCAAAAAACAAAAACAAAAACAAACAAAAAAAAAAACTAGTGTGTATAAATATAATAAGGGCTTATTTTTTCATGATGTAGTACTTATGAAAAAAACCAAAAAAAACAAAAAAAAACTAGTGTGTATAAATATAATAAGGGCTTATTTTTTCATGATGTAGTACTTATGGACTGTATTATCCTTCTAACACAGAAAGCTAAAAAGGCGAGGTAGAAAGAACGTGGGCTTGAAATTGCAATTAGCATTTGAACGACAGCTATGCTGTATTAGCAAATTAACCTTAAGAGTAATTTAATCTCTCAGAGCCTTCATTTCCACATCAGCCTCAAGGCTTAATGAAGGTCTTTGCCCTGTAGATGCTCTCTAAATACTCCCTGGAGAGTTGTGCTTTCTGAAATTCAAGAATTCTGTTCAAGCTTGTCTCCTGATAAGTACTTTCTCCCTCTTCCTTCAGGTGGTATACCAGTTACACCCCCTCAGGCGGGACCATGGAGCCCAGCACCTTTAGTCTTCAGTCAGTCCACTTCCGTGGTCCCAGGAGCCATGATGGGAGGTCAACCTCCAGGTTTTGGTCAGCCAGTCGTTTTTGGTACAACCCCAGCTGTTCCAGGTTGGAATCAGCCTTCGTCCTTCGGAGCCTCAACTTCCCCTGCAGCCCCTGTCATTTGGGGCCCTTCTGCATCTGTGCCACCCAGTGCTTGGCCATCACCAAGCCCTTTGGGGAATCCTTTCCAGAGCAATATTTTTCCAACTCCTGCTTTGTCCACTCAGCCCACTTCTATGCTCTCCTCTCTCCTGGTCACTTCTCAGCCACCTCCCCAAACTGGCCCTCCAAAGGACACCTCCAGTGATGCTTTCACTTCCTTAGACCCACTTGCGGATAAAGAAGTCAAGGAAGTGAAAGAAATGTTTAAGGACTTCCAACTGCGGCAGCCACCTGCTGTGCCCGCAAGGAAGGGAGAGCAGACTTCTTTTGGGACTTCAAGTGCCTTCTCCAGTTACTTCAACAGCAAAGTTGGCATTCCTCAGGAGAATGCAGACCATGATGACTTTGATGCTAATCAACTGTTGAACAAGATCAATGGTAAGCTACTCATTTCTCTGCCTGCGCACCAACAAATATGTCCACTGTCATATGGACCCACAGAGTCCATCAGAAGAACCCTCTCCCACCTACCAAGTCTTGCTCTTGTTTCTTTTAATAGTCGGTAGCTACGGAGGCAATTTAACATTTACCTTTTGGATCTAACCCTTTCCTGTAGTTATGTTTCTGAGGGATGACCCAATGCTGCCCTCTAGTGACAGTTCTTAAAAGGGCTGCCAAGAGCTATTGAAATGCGATGGGTGGTGGCACTTGGAGGGGGCTGTGTAACAAAGTCTCATCCGTCTTCCACAGCCTTAAATGCCGGAATTCTGAATCTCTTCCACTTCAGATAAATATGCATGGCTTTATCTCTGAGAAGGGATAGATTTGACTATAATAACCATTGAGGGTCCTACTATTTGGTGGAGATTTTTTGTTCCACTGGCGCAAATTTCAAAAGTATGGAACTAAATTTCAAAGATAGTTGAGGGATTTGTGCCTGTAGTTGGGAAAAGCTTGTGTATTGACTGCTATGGTTTTTCATCTTCTAGAACCACCAAAGCCAGCTCCCAGACAAGGAGCCCTGCCAGTTACTAAATCTGCTGACAATGCATTTGAGAACCCTTTCTCTAAAGATTCTTTTAATTCTTCACAGGCCACTGTAAGTATCAACTGCTAGAAGCTGTTGTTCCAAAGTACATGCTACATAGAGCTACCACCTCCTGAATTAACCTGCATGAGTAGAGCCTTCTGAATTAACCTTGCTTTTGTAATAACTTTTTGACAGTAAAGCATGCTTGAATAAGTTTTTTTTCATTGAGAACTCCTCAGCATAAACATTCATTCGAACTGGGGAAAGATTATGTTTACAGGAACTACCATCTCCTGAATTTGAGAAAAAATATCACATTGAAAATGTTCTTCATATCTCACTTAATCAGATTTGTGAAAGCATTTTGGGAGAAAATTGAGCCAAAATTCTATATCAAAACCTTTCAAAGATTTAAGTTCTTAATTTCCCACTCATTGTTCTACAGCTCATAAAAATAGTACTTTCCATTTTGTAGAGGCAAATTAATTCACCTGAACCTTGATTTTGATTTAAATAATATACATAGTCATCTTCAATCAGGGGGACACAAATCATTGTAGACCCTTAAAATGTCTAATTAGTCTATGACCTAAGTGATTTTTAAGGGAATGTGAGAAGTCTTAATTATAATTTTTATCTTATGACTATAATTAGATTTATTGACTGGATGGTTTTATCTCTTTAGGTGGCTTCTCCTTTTGGAAATCCTTTTGCCTAACTTCTGTAAGTAGAAAATCCTATTCAAATAATGGGGGGAGGTTTGTAAGAAAGTGTAACACACGGGGTAAAAGGTGAAATTTAGTTGGGAAGAGGCTAGATATCTGTAATTTAGAAGTAAAAGACGTGGATATCTATACTTAGCTAATTCAATAGTGACTGGGCCAGGCATTTAAGAATAGAATTCTTAAACACAGCAAAAATAGTAATATACCCATGGGGATATAGATTTCTATCTTATCCTGTATTTTTGATATTTCACTTCTGAATGGAAATAAAATTCAATATAATACATAACAGCTTTCTAGCTTTTTTACCTTCATATCGAAGTGATCATAAAGCATCCTAGTAATAACCTGGTTTCCTATAAAAGGCACAAATTGTTAAGACCTTCTGAAGCCACCAAAAAAGTCAGCTAAACAGATGATGATCACAACTTTTCTGTCATTTATTTCTTTGTGAGCATTTGCAATTAATATTAGTCTGAAATAGTCAGATGGTATTAAATCCAAAAGTGGTGACAGTTGCTAATATCTCCTGCCTAAGCAGTAAAAGTTCAAAATGAGTCTGAAGGCTGATTCTTCTTTCTGTAGTGGACTTTATCCTAGATAAGTTATTATTAGGGATAACTGCCTTCGACTAAAACCCTGAGAGGGCTCCGTGTAACTCTTCTCAACAGTCATTGGCAGAAACTTTGTGCTGCTCTTAAAAGGTTGGAATTAATAGGGGAAAAGAGGCTTGTCTCCAATTTAGAGAAGGAAGGGCACAGCTTATAGGGGTAGAACAATAGAAAGAATGAATGAACCCAAACCCATTTTTGTCAATTTTGCCCCATCCAAGCAGGACTACTAAACTATGTCTTAGATACTCAGTTGGTTAGAGCACAGTATTATAACACCAAGGTCAAGGGCTCTGATCCCCGTACTTGCCAGCCACAACAGTAAAAATAAACTATGTCTTGACCCACCTAGAATTTAATTATTTTAAGTAGATAAATATCTTAAATATGACATCAACAGTAAGATTGAGTTTATATGAATTTGGATCATTTTCCCCCACCCCAGTTCTATGACACTGTATCATACAGTACCTTTCCGTATATTCTGCTTCAGAAAACTAGGTAAGATTGTTAAAAATGCAAATTCCTGGGCCCCACTCCAGCCCTCTGGTAATTAGGAAAAGCTTCCTTTTAACAAGAATTCACTGATTCTAATGATAATAAAGCAGTATAGAGGATATTGAAGAGCTAGAAATCTTACCAGAGTCAAGGGGAGACATACCCAAACAAATTAAAAAATAATAACAAATAAACTATTCTAGGAGTCAAGATAGATTGTTTGGACTAAATTGACTTACATTTCTCTTTGGAGGCCCTTTCTTCTTTACATCATGAAGAAAGGATAGTTTAGATTAACCTGCTCCATCAATAGATTGGGTGGGGGAACTGTCATAGGAGAAAATAGCTAACATTATTGAACACTTGTGTTAATCACTTTATTACATGTTCCACATTTATTATCATATTCAGTCTTCACATCAGCCCAAGGAGATACTACTACTGACATTTTTAATAATGACTTGATAATTAATACATTGATAGTTAATTCAAAAATTATAACCACAGGTCTTTTCTTCTTCATACTCTCTAGGAGAACTTGGCATGCTGACTATCCAGAGGAACAAAAAGATTGGCCTTAGTAGTCAAGGACAAAGCTCACAGCCAGACACGTCCTGACCTCTGCCCTTGTTCCAGCTTTAACGTATTATCTGTTGCCTTATTTCTTCTTGACACTTCCACTCGTAAAATGCCTTTTGCTTTCTGTCTAGGTTAAAGCTTATCTCTGTCTATGGCTTGAAATAAATTAAAACCCTAAACTCTCTAGCTTAAATGTAAATGAGGTAGTTTTCCTACTAAATCCTTGCCTATTGTGTCCCTAGAACCTTCTAGAACACTCTACCTTCTACCCTGTGGTTGGGAGATGCAGCCACCACAACCCCTCGTATCATACTGTTTTAAATAAATTTTCAAATTCTTACTGTTCACAGTTGTTTGGGGGTTCTGTTTGAGAGTGTGAAACCTAAAGATGTATAGTAGGACAAGGCCCCTTCTTAAAAGAAATCTTGCTTCACACCATCACTTACGGAGACTTTTTAAAGTGAAATTGAAGCAAGCCCAGCTTCTCCTTAGGCACTTTGGAATCTGGCACCTGAAGACCTTTTTAAAAATATAGTTCCTCCTCTTTCTGAGGAACCATTTCTACCAAGGCCAAGATTGTCTTTTTTCCAGTCTCTTGCTAGTTATTACAAATGAGGGGAAAGCATTATTCATCTCTCCTTTCCTTTTCCCTTTGATTCTCTCTTCAAGTCACTTTTGCTCCTAGGCTCATATAACATTCCCTCCCTTCCGAAAACAGCAGACTCTCAAGGGGCAAAAAAAATCAAATGATTTACAGATCTAGAGCCCCTCTTCATTTCAGGAACTATGAGTCCCAGTAACTAGAACTGCAAGCGGGCACAACCTGTATCTTTCCAGTGGAATAGGAGACCATCCTCCTGCACCGAAGTTCCAGAAGAAAAGTTAATGTTGAAGAGAAATTGAGCTCAACTCAGCCATGAAGGACTGTACACTGAGGAGCAACACATCACAAAGCCAACCATGATTACCGAAGTTCCAGAAGAAAAGTTAATGTTGAAGAGAAATTGAACTCAACTCAGCCATGAAGGACTGTACACTGAGGAGCAACACATCACAAAGCCAACCATGATTGTGCCAAACACATTAGTGCTTCTTTGGGGTCATGCTAGGCCTTTAAACAAGAAACTGGAAAACTCTTTTGAAGCCTCAGTCTCATGGTTCGTAGGGAGATAAATGGTGGGGGAAGCTGTAGAACACATACTTGGCATTATCACTGAAAATCTAATGTCTGCAATATTTTTCTCCTCATAACCTTGGAAACTTTCCCAGGTTATTGTCAGTCTTATTGTTAGCACAGTTCTTAAGGGTCTGTTCTTGCCAAAATGAGTTTTGTTTTGTTTTGTTTATGTTGGGTTTTTTAATGTTGTCTCTTGACCCTTAACACTCAGGTTCTTGTGGGTGTTAATCAACCACATACAATGTTACCTTTATGTGGAAGAAGAGGATGACTGCTCAGGATCTCGATAAGATGGTGGCTTTGAACCTCCATTGATTAGCCCCAAGTAGTCCAAGCTAAAGTCATGTGGTTTTATGTTTAATGGTGACAGCTGATCATATATGGCATAATTTTCTGTCTGGCTTCCTAATCAGTCATTATAAACAAAGACTTGAAATAGTGTTTAAATGTCCAAATATCTAAACGTGCTAAACTGGAGGTAACTATTTCTAGGTAGCTGAATTTTTGAAAGTGATGATCAGCCACACAGCTGTTTTGTACATACTTATTTTCTTGTGCACTTTTCTGTATGCAAATAAAGCTATAAATTTACTCATTTCAATAAACTGGAATGGCAGAATTTCATGTGTTACCATCAATTTATTCTAGTATTTGACCCCTGCTTTGGGTTGACATTATGGTCACGGTATAAAACACACCAGTCTGAGATGAGAAAATGGTAGTTAGTGAAAAAACATGAAATAAGGCAATGAGTAAATGATCATCTGATCTCTTTCAACACCTTATTCTCCTGACTCAGACCCATATGTACTTCCTTCCTGGGAGTTCGATAAAGTCCAGAGGATGAGATCCACACCAGAACAACCTCAACTGATGTCCAGGATAAAGATCATTCATTAGTGCACTACTCAGTTTATGTCTTTGCCCTTACCTCCCATTGTTCTTTATTCAGTCCTGTTTGACCCACCAAGCCACCGCTGCATAGCCTGATCTAGGCTGGCTCAGGCCACTCAGGAGAGCTGCTGTGTGAGGCAGGCAGGCCAATGCTCAGACATTTCTAGCGTTCGGACTCTCTTGAACACTGTTACCTAATAGAAAGTTCAAGGTTCTCATTCATTTCAAGTAGATCTGGAACTACAAGGAAGAGAATCCCAAGGCAGGCCTTGCTTGGATATAGAAGTCTTGGTGTTAAACCTAACTTCTCTTAGGAGTAAGACAAACTTATGGAGGAGTGATTATCTATTGGTGTGTACTATTATGGAATGTTTGGTATTTTTGCCTAACCTTTCCCCTTAACTAAAACATTTGGTTTCTTTCTGACAACAGTGAGGTGGAGTGTAGAAAAACAGACTCTGCACAAAAGCAGCTTCCAGGAGAGCTGAAAGTGAGATGCAGATGAGCCAGAGAAGGCTGCTGATAAGAATGTGTTGCACAAAGTATGTGGCTTATCCAGGTGCTCTGCAGTGTGTCTAACCCAATGAGCTGTATGCTATTTCTGTGTGGCTTGATCTGCTAGATCTTGCTAGAGGTTGACCTATGCTTATGTGTACAAGGGGAGGACACTAATTTCAGTGCAGTAGGAACTACTGTAGACCAACCAAAGGAGGTGCTTAGTGAGGTGTCCTTGCAAAGTGGACATAGACCTACTCATTATAGCCTCCTTAGTAGCAGTAGTATTCACAACTGTGTGCCAGAAGTTCACCTCTTTGTAGTAATCCTATTATGGAAAGAGGGTTTCATTTAGGCACCAAATATATCCAAGCTAAAAGCTAAACTTTAACAGCCAGCAATGCCTCCAAATTTTTCACATAAAAGCAATACAAAGGAAAGAAGGTATTGGTTTCTCAAGATAATCCTGCATTTATGACAAATCACTTCATTTTATTGATATGGTAATCCTGTGAGGTGAAATCTGTTACTGATGCACCTCATGCTAGATTGGCGTCCATGCTTTAAAATCTCTTCCAACTCTTAAGAGAGTGGTGTCCATGGGTATTTGATATGGATTGTGTCTCCCAAATTTTGTGTTAGTAGTTTGGTCCCCACTGTGACTGTTAAGAGGGTGGGAAATCCTATTATGGTAGTTGAAAAGTGGGGCCTTGAAGAGGTGATTAGATTCTGAGGACCATGTCTAGTGAATGGATTAAAAACAGTGGTCAGTGGCATGATTATGAGGGCTTTAAAAGAAGAGCACATGAGAGGTTAGTCTGTCTCTGCTCCACCATTTTCTGCTATGTGAGACCCCTGGGTCACTGCTGCTACCAACAAGGCCTTCACCAAATGTGTTTCCTGGACTTTGGACTTCCCACCCTCTGAAACTATAAGCAATAAATTTTGTTCTCTTACAAATTACCCAATTCCAAGTATTTTGTTATGAGCAACAGAAACAAACTAATACAGTATTTTATTGTAAAACTATATTTGTAATAGGGAAATCCTTTCAACCATGAATTTCAAATTCCTCCAGCAAAATGTTAACTGCAAAGTCTACAGAGAGCCAAAAGGAAGGCAACTCTTTGTCTTTCCCGTGCTGAAAGAGCAGAGAATGTAGCTAACTCAGGGTTTGTTTGACCCCGGAATAATCTTATGAGTGAGGACTCTGACCCCTTTTCTGGGAATAGGTTCAACACAAAGTCTTCTAGTGAAAGGTGGGAGCTGCCCAAAAGTTCCTGGTAAATATTTAAGCTACTGCCATTTGAGGATATTGCTAAATAATAAAATGCCTCATTCTTGCTGGGAAATGGTGTGTTTTTAACTAATTCCCTTGTATTAAGAATAATTCAGTCTCATGTTCTAAGTTGATATGCCAAACACGGACATGTACAAGGCTGTGTACCAGAAGCATCTCTGTTAACAGGTCTTAATTACAGCAGTACTGATGGACAGGGGCCAGATATTTGTCATCTTACCTAATGAGTGTCCAAGCCCCTCATTTGCCCTTGCTTTGCTGGAATTATATACTTAATTACTAAACCTCTGCCATATACTGAATTCATACAAGTCACGGTCTCCAGGGAGACAACAGTGGAGGCTGCTCAGTGGCAAAGAAACTAGCCTTTTGCAGTAATCAAAGATGAGGTTGTTATAAATGGGGGGAAAAAAAGAGGAAAAAGTCCAACTCAAAGTCTATATGGCGTTTTCCTTGCAATGTTCATTATGGAGTTTTCTGACAGTTCTCTTTTCATTTGGTTGACTTCAATCATTATTATTTTACTTTATTTGTAAGAAAGGTCAATTATTGCTGTTCTAAAAGTTAGAAGTGAACTGACTGAGCTGGAGCTGACATATCTTGGGTGTGTCTGAGGCTGTCTCCACAAAGTACTTATCTATACTGATTGATCACCATAGAGGTTTTTGTTTGGGGCAACTGAGATGAGAGGATTAGACACAGGAGCTAACAGAGAAGTGGAGGAGAGAAAAGGATTGATATGACATTTGCCTCCTGCTTTCCTCACTGGCCTAAGACACCGACTTAGGATCTTGATGGTAGGAAATGATAGGCTTAGAAGCTGGAGGAACTGTCTTCTTTTGATGAAAGACCCCAGGCTCAAGCAGGCAGTTCACAGCCCATACGCCCATGAGGAATGAGTGTACTACAGTAATGGAAAGTCTCACAGTAGCTAAAATTAGTTGGTGTCTTAGATTGAGCTACTCTTAACATGAATACCATAGAGCAAGTGGCTTAAACAACAAACAGTTATTTGCCACCACTCTGGAGGCTGGGAAATCCAAGATCAATGAATTTGCAAATCTAGTATCTGGTGAAGTCCCTCATCCTGGTTTGCAGACAGCCATCTTCTCCCTGGTATCCTCATATGGTGAAAACAGCAAGCTCTAGTCTCTTTCTCTTCATATAAAGACACTAATCCCATCATGGGGTCTTCGCCCTCATGACCTCACCTAAACCTAGGTACCTTCCAAAACCCCCACCTACTAACACTATTCCATTGGGGATAGGGTTTCAACACATATATTTGTGAGAGATAGAAACAGGTAGTCCTTATTAGCAGGGATTTGTTTCTTTCTCACACAAAAAAGTCTGGGTTGATGGCTGCTGGTTTTGGCTCAGCAACTCAACAGGGCCCTCAAGGACACAGACTTATTCTTATCATTTCACTTCAACTCTTGTAGCCTTTGCTTTTTGTTCTCACGGTTATTGCCTAATGGTCACGAAATGGCTACACAGCTCCAAATATGATGTTATTGTTCAACGTGGGCGGAAAGGGAAAAGGTAGCACAACCAATGTCCACTCCATGTACCAGGCATTTCAGTTTTTTCCAGGGATTCCCAATAGACTTCAACTATGTCTCATTGGCCAGAATTTGGTCACGTGGCCACTGCTAGCTGCAAGGGAGTCTGGGAAAGCAAGCTTTTAGCTTTACCAACATTTGTAGTGAAGGTAGTTAAGGAATATAGAAGGTAGTCAAGATATGTAGAAGCAGGACTTGCTGCATAATTAGCAGGACTCAGGGGAAAATTAAAATGTGGGGCCTATTTTTTTAAAAGCAGAAAAGAAGTGCCATTAAAGTCACTAAAATATAAAGCTTTTTATTTCTTTGGTGATCTCTCTCTCTCTTAATCTATCATATTGTATTTTATTTGCTATTTAATGTTGTTCTAAGTAAGGAAAAATTAAAACTTTAAAATAGTATGAATTTCACCACTAATCTTTAACTCACATGTGGAATTACCAAAACTACACAATTTGAATTTATAACTTACATATGCATACATATTTATGTATGTATTTCATTCTTACCAGAACAGTGGAAACACCACACAAAATTCAACAATTTATTTTTCTTCTTGACACGTGTACATTCTACCAATACTCTCTACCTTTAGCTGTCTGGTGGGTAAGGAAGGACTGAAAAAAAAGAACTATGGGTTGTCCTATCTTTTTCTTTCCTTTTATGTCATTGTTTCCAGCATAACTGGCTGGCTAATGCAGGAAAGTAACAGTAGGAAGAAAGATATGACAGTGGTTTTTGGTCATTTGTGTTTCTTTTTGTGTTTGAAGCAAGTTCTGGTTCATACTGCAAGTGTGGCCTCCTGGGGCTGTCAGTGCCCACCTCCACCCACCTACTCAGTCATAAACATAACACCTTTACCTTATACTCACTTTCATTTTGACTCCATGAACTCCCACACATAGTGGGGCCACCTGAATTCTGTGCTCATGGGGCCACACAAACACCACGTATGAATGATACAGAAGAGGGGATACAGTGTCTTCTCCTCATGCACATGCTCCATTTTCCCATCAGACTTGGCTTCCAAAACAAAAGTTCAAACATAAAGTTATTAAGAATTTCAAGATGGCAACAGCAGAGCATTACACCAACTGTGAGGTCCTCCTGAGTGCTGAGCCCTGGGCCCCTGTCCATGACACATGCCCATGATTTCAGCCCTGGCGAGAGGGCCTTGGAAATGGGTGATGGATTGATTAGCCAAGGAGCCTCCCACATGCCTGACTGATCATTTAACCCAAGGTTGGCCCAACCCCAAATGCAGATCACAGCAGTCTTGGGCTCCATAGCACCCTCATGGCAGGAGAGAAGCTTACTCACACAGAGCATGCTCAGCAAAGCCAGTGGCAGGCACCTAGACTGGAAAGC